AACAGTGTGTATTACGATCTCACACGCAGGACTCGAATTCAGGCCCCTCAATCGGGAGTGACAGTTATCCACCGTAGACAATGGATGAAAAATTGTGTAAGATCATGTATCGATTGAAGTTAGACATTAATACCGTTGGATGCCTGCTCAGTGGTCTAGAGGTTAGGTGTTCACGCACGAAACCGACGGTTCTGGTTTCGAGTCCTGCGTGGAGGACCGCGAATGCGCACTGCTGAGGAGTCCCATACTAAGACGAAACACCTGTTCGGTGCTTCCAAGTTTTCAAAGGTGGTCTACCTTAGATCGGCTCATGAATTCAACTGTGAAAATATTACAATCTACACAAATCCCCATAGTGATAATTTTTCATTCTACGAAAATGAATATGACAAACAATTAACTGATATCAAAAAAAAAACAATCCCAAGACTAATAAACAAATTTGATACTAATATTTCATAGATAATCGGTAGCTAGATGATCATAAAAAGCTCAATTTCCAACTATTGATTATTATTACTACTACTTTTTGGTATAAACTGTGATGCCTTACCAAATTTGGCATTATCCATCGATTATTAGCATTAACTCTCTAAACACAAAATATAAATCGAAGAAAATTACATGAATTTGCACTATTATCAATGAGATAAGTTTCTAGACAAGTGAAAGAAAATGTTTCAAATTCTAGTACTATCTAGTTTCTCATGTAACCCCCCCCCCCTAAACAACTATTTAAAAAAAAAAAATCAGTAAACCATTTCAATAAACTCAATTATACACATAACAACTGACAAGAATCGAAAGAAAATGTTGAAACATCACATGTGTTAATAAGATGAAATATAATTGTCAATACATGAATAGTATTAATTATATCAATTTAAGATAAGAAACTATCATTATCGTAAGTATAATTTGCATATGGATTGTTTCGTTGATGTATGATGGATAATAATTATAGTATCTTTTTTTTAAGATTGATAAATGCAAAGAATTCCATTTTGGGATGGTAGAGAGATGTGTAGCTAAGGTGGATGATTTTAATGGAGTTTTGTTCTCTGAGCTGGATGGTTTGGTCGTGGAGATTTTATCGTTCTTCTGAACGACATCATCAGCACAAACTTCAGTTCAGAAGAACGATAAAATCTCCACGACCAAACATCCAGCTCAGAGAACAAAACTCCACCGAAGAATTCCATTTTAATTGAATATTAAATAAGAACTGAGAATTCACTAAAGATAAGAATTAGGAAAGATAAGAATAGCAGCAGTTCATTTTTATAAACATAGTGTTTTCAATACGAATTGATGTTGATTGAAAACTAGAGAGCATTGAAAGATTATTTTGTTTCATGTTCAAATCACTTTAACAGTATACCTGCAACCCAACATAAAATATTATGATAAACCGTTTCTCATTATGTACATATGCAATCACTCTTGATATGGACAGATGAAAAAAAATCTATTAAATAAATAAATAATTGTATGTACCATTGATTGATCAATGGGTAGTGACCAATGTCATATGTTTGAAGTTCTTCTTAGTGCAGATCGAACTCTGTTAACCAAATTGCAATGTGACCACTAGTCTAGGTGAATTGACATCACATGTACTGTGTCGAGAAATGGAGATGGTGGTTGAAGGTAGTCGACAGGATATCATGGACCTAAGTTTTGTGCTATTTAGCACTCGTCATTAAGATGTACCTGTAAATTTTGAGGGAACGAATGTTCCCTGGTGGATTCGATCCAGTGTCGCCATCTTCACAGTCTAAGATATTACCCTTGAGCTACTTAGGTAGCAAATGACCGCTTGTAGAACTGAGATATTTATAACTGATTAATCACTGAGTAGTGACTAATGTGATGATTATCTAACTCTTAAGTGAAAATTGAATTCCACTGACCAAATTATTATCATTGTGATTTCTAATGGCTTTATTCAATACTATATATTTAGTACAACGTAGAATTCTCAGCATTATGACCATTAGTCTAGAAGACTCAAAATCACGCGTACTGTGTTAAGATGTTAGTAAAGACCTTCAAACACATTGTTATCAATACGACACCTATCTATTTTACAACAATACACTAATGTATATATGTTGAATAACTATAAATACGATTGTGTAAGTTTAATAGACGACAATATAGAAATTACTGAAACCATTTATTATACTAAAAGACTAGTACTAAAATACTAGTCTTTTAATATGATGGGGATCTTTAAACATTTATTATACATTCACAGTCACATAATATACGTTTGTGGGCCAGGGTAATTTTACATTGGTTTTCAAGAGAACCAGACACCATCCGGACTTTCATGTGACAACCCAAACAGTACAGCTCAACCTCGTTTAGCAGGGGAACCAGACACCGTATAGGCTTTAACGTTACACAATCTGAATAGTACAGCTCAATCCTGTGGAGCAACCACACAGGTACCAAGCACCCTAGTGGACCATTTATTATACATTAGGTATTGAAAATAATATGAATTGTCAGAACTAGAGGGAATACATAGAAATACAAAATAAAATAATTTTGATAGAGTTGAAATAAATCACTGAAACTATTACTCAATGTTGTACTATTTAAACTTGGATTAATTTAATTTGGTTATTTATTCTCTGAAGAAGTGACTTACACTAAGCCACGAAACGTCAGAAAAATCCAATTTTCTACTCATTGGGATATTACAAATATATTATTTTTATTTATAACAATCAACCCAATGCTCAATTTATTCGAAATTATCAAATCAAACCTTGGTAATGACACCTATAGTAAATATCTCCGTTCAAATAGCCATGGACAAGATGTACAATTCACACATAATGTTGATGAATATGAAAAACTTGACTATGAACCTTGATAGTTTTTCTAGCAGTGGTAGATACATTTTGACATGAAACATAAACACACAAACAAAATATCATTCCGTAATAAAGATTTAGTTTTGACTTCATCACTATTTTTTATTGTTGTTATAATTGATTAGATTACTTAAATCAATGTAGGATAGGAGGTCAATTATTCGAGATTTGATGTCGGTGAGAATTTCAAATGATTCTAAATGATATAATGGAATTTGATTAATTTGAATATGATTTTATTAACCTTATAATGCTAAATCTTACATATTTCATCATCCCATTTTGTTTATTTTAAGCGGAAACTTGGTAAGTAAATGAATCAACATAAAAAGCATAGTAATACAAAAGAACAAATGACAGATGATGTAATCAAAGTGAAAATTATTCATATAATGTTTATTCAGAAAGTTTCCACCACTTAATCATATGACTTTCATTTTAAATTATATTCAAGTATTTCAAGTTATTCACAGTTACATGATCTCTATAATTTCAGCCCAAGCAGTTAAGGAAAAGAGGAAGACCAAAGAACACATTACGCTGGGAAATGGAGATAGACATGAGAAAAATGAACAAGAATTGAATGGAACTAGAAAAGAAGGCTCAGGACAGAGTGGGTTGGAGAATGCTGGTCGGTGACCTATGCTCCATTAGGAGTAACAGGCGAAAGTAAGTAAGTTAAGACGTTTCGATATATATTAAAACAACTATACTTTATATTACAATATTATTTCATAGGCTGACTATTTCTACTCTTCTTCCTAACAGTGAAATTTATCTAAGGAATTTTAACTAGTGTAAAATTAGTTCTTCCCACGTTTTCATACATTCGTTTTAGTATATTAGTAAGAGGTAAGAGTGATGCTCTACATTGCTCGGTTTGTATACATGAGTTCGCATCAAATCTTATGAAAATCACATTAATGTCAGATTTAGAATCTTACAAGTGATAATTTCCACCTCTATTTGACTTTTATTTACCATTACTTTACAAAATTAAACACTAGTTATCCGTCATTATCAAGCAAGTAATTATTTGATTGGACTTTATGGTTAATTGAATATACAAGTGATATATATCTGTTTAAACTCCAGAAAGAATTTACATATACAAAGATGAATTATTATTAAAGATCTAGCTAACTGTCATTCTCCTTTGAATTAAATTACAAAAATAATAAACGGAAATCTATATTTTCACTTATTATTATTATTAGTAGTATTATCAGTATCATTATCATAAATTGGTAGAATATTTTTATGGTTAACACGAGTTGAAAGATGACAACAACCACGACTATGTATTTATCAAAGTGGTATGGCAATGAATGAATCTGATCTAGGTTGGCATATTTTACTAGTGTGTATGATAATATATGTGTACAGATAGCAGTGTAAATATAAAGTGTTTTCAAGCATTGTCGAAATAAGCATATATATTCATTGTAACAACATAGTATAACGTACTGTTTATTGTATGTATATATATACCTGGTCTGAAAATGTTTATAGTTATACTCCAATATATTATGAAGAACTAAAAGAAACTATAAAGCAGAGAACAAATTCATTTTGTGGACCATTTTGACAACACTATACCTAAGTCAGCAATTTCGAACTTGATATAAAATCAGCTTCGCTATCTCAAATACTGGATCGTATTCTAGAGAACGATCGATCTGTATTGGAAAGATGTTTATCCTTTACTGTGATAGTTGTTACAATGATTGACATTAAATAATGAAAGTCAACTCTGATGAGTATGTACCTAATTCGGGGAATGATCAACATATAAAATGATATAAAACCAGTTTTGATGAAATGAGATTTTATCCTTGTCAGCTAACAGAAAAGTAATGCAACTTAGTAACAAAGTACATATTCGTGAAGTCTATTACACGCCATACTTTTCATGTGACAAACTAGTGATGACAACTGGTTTTCAAACCAAGGTATCCAAAATGAAGTTTGAAACTACGACCTAACAATTATAGGAATTATTCACCAATACTACTCGCAAACTGAGTGAAATCTAGATTGATATATAAGTAAATCGTAGATTTTTCACTTAAATATATAAATTGATACAAAATAAAAGAATACACTGCATACCTGCATATATTGGATATTGTCTATCTGTTAAGTTATCCCATAAGTAAGTTGGAGCTAAGACATACAAAGGACTAGCCCCGATCCCGGCTAGCAGCATTGCAAAACAAAAAGTTGGAAAGAGAACAGACTGAACAATGTCACTACTTCCCATAAATCCGTACTTGATGATTCATTAATATCATTATTATTATTAAAATTATCAGCAGCAGTGAGTGGGGCAGCACGAATAATTGTGTCACCGACACTAGTTTGATTATTAAGTGAATTGGAAATAACATTCTTAGGAAAGGCATTGCGCGATTGATCGACACATAGTGGTCCATCCAACTGAATTGCATTTTCTAAGTCTTGATTAAGAGGAAAAGACGACAGAGAGGAATGGATGATATCTTCAGTACTAATACTAGTACCAGTATTACCATCAGGAGTAGTTGGTAAGTTCGGTCTGTAGGGACCAGCTAAAAAGTGAGGCAATGCAAATAATCCAAATCCAAGAGCCAGGATCAATGTCGCCAAACCAATAACACGTAATCGATTATGTTTCTGACCGCTAATAAAGCTAACAATCACTGTGGTTATGACACCGGCTACTTCATAACAACTTATCATAGAGCCAATTTGTCGACTAGTTAAATTAAATCTTCTTTCCAATGTAGTAAACATACTACTCATCAGACCAGATACAACCATAGTTTGCATAAACATGGTTAAACATAATCCGATTAATACAACACGTGGATTAGCACAGGTTTGTAGACAAGGGCATAAACAAGAAGTATCATCATCTTTTGCAGTTGTAGTTGTCTCATGAGTTTCTGCATCACGCGTACATATAAACGAATTTTCTAATGTAATATCATTAGATGAACGTGGAGGTGTTAGACAAGGATGAGCTTCGGGTTTATTTTCAGGAATGAATGAAGTATCCGGAATCTTATATTCACCTGACACCACAAGATTTTGTTCGGCAGAACCATCCCAATTATAAGATGGTCTTTCAGTTAACTGGTCAAGAATAAGAGGTTTTGTGACAATACGGAAATCCCAACCAGATGTAGGATCGCTGATATTGCGAGCATGACCTAAAATACGTTTCGAATAATATGGTGGAGGGGCTTGATAATCATTTGGATGATTGAAAACATTAGCATATGGAACTCGACCACTTGTAATTTGATTATCAGGATAACGACCGAATCCAACTGTTGTAGCTGTAGATAGATTTCGGCGATGCTGACGTCTAAAATGATTTGGCTTATCAAAGCCATACGTTGCACTAGATGAAGTTCGTCGAACTAGACCAGGATGCAAGCAAGTTGATATAAAATTTACTACATTTGTATCCCAATCAATTGGACATGAAGTATCACAAATCTCATCACCTACGGCATAGCCAGAAGACGGTCCTGATGTTGCTCTTGATAAATGTGGAGTAGGCATGAGAATGAGTAGCTAATACATTGGAAAACAGGAAATTATATCCAACCAGACAAAAATAAGAAGAATAAATAACTCATTTTCTGAATCATGCAGAACGTGTAAATAAAACCTGTTGAAGCAAATAGAGATAGAATGTAAGTATGCAACTATTATTTAAAACAATAAAAAACAATACAGAAATTTATAAAATAAGATTACATTTTTAAACATTACGAATGAACAGTTATAAAAGCTGAGTGTTTTGTCACTAAGTAGCTACGTATGGGTCCGTGTGTAATGTATTTAATTTATAGATGGTGACTAGTGATACTAACCGACTATTTATTTTATTTAAACACACAAACATTGGTACAAGGAAGCACAAAATATATATGCGCCACACTTTGTCATTAGATTTGTATGAGGGCTGAAATACTGCCTGGGCGCCCAAACCGCCTAAGCCTACAAAGGTTTGAGTTTGAAATTCAATGGCTTAAAGTTCAGAACAAAGAATGAAGTCTACATCAAAGCACAAAGATATGTAAATGGTTTTTTGAGTTATAGCAAATACCTTCAAAGTCATTCCAAAAGGCTCAGCCGTCTTGGACACCACAGCCACTTAGCACTAAGGAACACTCAGTATAAAACACTTGACCTTTTATAATAATAGAAGCTTTAGGTAAAGTTCATTTTTGACATTCTCCGGACTACAATTAATAAGTGTATAAACAGAAATTACAGATATATTAGTATCAGTTTGTTTCACTTAAATATAAAACTACATTTGTGGTATGCTTATTGTACTTGTTACTTCTTCGTAACTGTGCAACAAAATAGCCGGCAAGTTTATTACGTGACTATAACCAAATGGTTTATTCCGACTACATATGTCGAGACAAAAGTTAGTCCCAATAGTTAGGTCTTAATTTATTGCAGATGAACAGACCCACAAAGTCGATATCCTCCAACTATGTGATACATAGTCACAATCATCTTTTTATTAAGATTTTATGTATAAACATGTTACTTCATCGGAAGAAACCTACTACACTGCGTATCTGTTTTGTCTTCTGGTGTCAGTTCATTGGGAACTTAAGCCAATGCTTCTGAATCGTGAGGTTATCACTTTGGCACGTTGTACTATTGTGTATCATCTGTCGATTAGCCCTGTACCTATTAATCTAATAATCTTCGAATGTCCCTCATTACAGATAAAAAAATCCCTATCCATAGTAGAAACAACAGTTGAAGAGTAAACCTGATAACTACCTAGTCATCACTCTAGACAGAGATGGGTGGTGGCTAGTAGTGGAAGTCAGGACGCGCGTTTCATCCTATTAGGGACTCGTCACCTGGACGTACTTGCATTCCACAGTTGTTCACCCGGGACTCGAACCCAGTACCTGTCGCTCCAAATGACACTGCGGTATCCACTCAGCTACTGAGTCCAGATAGCCATTGACTCATGTAATGGGATGAAGTCTAATTTGTTTGTGTCGGTTGTTTGAATTTTGCAACTGATATTTAGGACTGCAAGTGAACTCTGGGATGCTGGTACATCTAAATGGCGAGTTCCAAATAGGATCAAACGCGTGTCCTGAATTCCACTGTTAGTTACTATCCATCATTACATAAAAAATGCTTGTGGTAATTATGAGGCAGTCTTTGCAGAATGCACATATGCCAGAAAAATTCTAAACAATTAAAGTCGTAAACATTTATGGAGAGATCTAAACAACCAATTCAAATAAACTACTTAGTCACCAATTGATTTAAATAAAACTAGACGGCTCCAGATAGTTTCGAGAAATTAGCACCTACTCTAGAAGTCTAGAAGTGCACTTTTCTACTGTTGCTAATGTTTTACACTTTATGTAGGATACCTAGCCAATTGAATATACTCACTTTGGACAATCTAAAAATTCATTGAATGAACAGTGATGAACTGTAAACTAGGATTTATTTATCAGTTAGTCAACATACAGCAGCAATTGCCCGACAGATAACAGTATTCCTGTCACCGTACCGAGCTGAAAAAGAAATAAACGGATGTGGGAATCTGCAATTTCACTCACTGGTGTCCCTCAGTTTTTTCTCTTTAAAAAAACCTGATCTATAGACTTAATGGTTTTATGTTTCCGTCTCGTTATTTCTGCTATTTTGTCACTACTGATTCTGGTAAACTAAGGAATCCAAAGCCTGTTACAAAGAGGTCAACTGGCTAAACATATTGCAATGAAAGCTGAGGAAGACCTGAAACCGTCTCTTCATTATACGACGAATAACTATACTCGCCGAATGTAGAGATCTTGACATGGCGTCCACTGTACTTCAGTGAATTGCCAGTTAGGACGTGATCGAGGAATCTGTTCGTTTTAGGTCGTGAAGCGTGGTTTTAGGCAATTCACATTTCTAACACCACCAAATCCTGGTGAATTACCGGCATGGGACAGCTTGGTTGAAACAGATATAATAGAAACAAAGGATATTCAAAATGATCCCTGCGATTTAGTTTACTTATTCATTTGAACATATAAATATTGGTACAAAGGGGCACCGAATACATATGCGTCACACAAGTCGCTTGATTTAGTATATAGTTCGAGTTCTTATTGGTGTTCTAAATACTTATGTCCTAAGTTCAAAAACTCGGAGCTATTTCTGCTATATACTAGATCTGAACCAGAATTTCGATACGCCAACAAATTCTGAACGTTTGAATTTTTTCAACTCATTTTGTTACTAACTAACTATTTACTTTGTCTCTTAAATATTTAATTTATCGTGTTTTCACAATCATAAAGATTATGGTTAACTCGAAATCGGTCAGAAACCCAAACTCGGGTCATACCAAAACTAGTAACTGATAGCATCACTTTTACGTGACATACTTTCAAAGCATTTAAGGTACTTCGACTCCGCTATCTGAAATACCATTACATAACCTCTCCATCGTTTTGTAACATAGCTCAACGGTCTTTAGACTTTTGAACCGTGGGAAATGAACGAAGTTCATCTACCAGGTAACTTGTAGACTAAACAGTGTGTTTGCATAACAAGTCATTATCGTTTTACTAAACACTACCACTTTTCCATTTACATTTGACATCCATGTTACACATATTATCTGCCTATATATTGCTTTTCAAGACCTGATATACCATAGTCGTTTTGCACTTTAAAACCACCTATTTCCATTATTTTCAGCTTAATTCAGAACCAACGTTTAGCTTTGTAGCGTTAGAGTAACAATTGATGAGGTATAAATAGCTAGTAACAGGTAAGATGGTTCTATTGAACTAATGAAAAGATTACACAGGACTTAAAAGTTGAAATACAAAAGTTCATTTTATCATGCCATACCTTATAGCTTGAGACCAGTAAAACCCGCGGGACTTACAAGTAAATCAAATCCTTGCGTCCGAGCGCAATGTAACCAAAATAGCATGAACAAATAACGGATCAATTGAACCCCTACACTGTTCGATTTCGTAGTTCTGCAGCGTGGTCATGGCCTATTTAGTATTGAGCGTGCAAAAAGAAAAGATATTTCTGTATATTAGAAGCTTCAATTGCCCAATGAATACTTCTCTTATGTGTAGGAATGAATGAGGACGGAGTAATGAAAGTTTGGAACTGCAAAGGAAAAAAAACATACCAAGGATCTTATTTACCTGTTTGATTTGGCGGAGAAAAGTTCGAGTTTGGTTATTCATTCACCGAAGCTTTGCTTCAGTTTGACAGGCTGAATAAACAATCTAAAGAATATAGTAGCGACTGATCAAAAAATAACAAGCAATAACGAAGTTAAGAATATTAAATCGGTCATCAGAGAACATAAAATCAGTTTTAAAAAAGCTGTGATTTTTGAATTCGTGTATTAGCTCTTCCGTGCATATCTTCCTATCTTTTCCTGGGATTGTTTCGTTTAAAGTTGAAACTTTTAGAGATATTTTACGTTGCTTTTGAAAATGCCTAGATATTTAATTGATCGTTTCTGTCATTGTGTTAAACTTCATGCAGTTTTTCCACAGGATGAACTTTTTTGAAAACTTCTAGCGATCGACTTTGCTCATGTGTGTGAGCGGTGGAATTTGTTCCTTAGTACGGTTGGAATGCCATGTGATAATTGTAGCGAATCCTACCATACGATATCTACCCAATTAACACGGTGCATTTAAGAACCTCCCTATCCTAGATCTTAGTGCCTCTGAATGTTTTGGTGTTTAAGCCAGTATTGCTGATTCGAAACGTCATTCAAGTTGCTGAAAGCAGAAGTAAAAATTCGCTTACAAATAGTAAAACCCATGTGATTATTGCAAGGACGACTACGGGAATGGTAGTACGAATTCAACTGAGAAGTCCCTGATGATGGACGTGAAAAACGGAGTCCCTCAAGTAGGTGAATCACTTACAGGTAAGGTTGACTGCGAAGTTATTTCGTGTGAAGGTCTTCATAGAATCGTCAAAGGCTCGAAGTGTTATGGCATATTAGTCTCAGATAAACGGTCACGGAAGTCGATGGGCAAAAGTATAAAAGTGACTTTCGATTGACCAGTTCACTTTAGATTACACTAGGTACTGTAGAGAAAGTAGCTGTAGCCTAATACTGTGTTTTAATGGCTTGGCATAAATCGCATAGACCTGTCCACCGTATAATAAGTTAGATTAAATTCATATTATCTCTTGTTCGAGTGAAACGAAGTCAGAGGCTCCATATGAGAGAATGTAGTAAGTTAGGAAGTGTGACAAAGAGTTGAAATAATGAATGATGGAGTAAAAAGAATGTAATGTTATTAGGGCGAAAAATGATTTATTGATGCTCCTTTTTAGACACATCTGGTTTTAGATGTTCGATCGTTATTGCTCCGGCAAATTTCTGGATATAGAGGTTCAACTATGAATCGGTCACTTTGAAAGCCTTCAGTGCACTCTGTATCAAGGTAACGTCTCGAGATGGCGCCTCTGAACGCTTTTAATCCATTTGACTTGAAACGTTTCGGAATACATTCTTCTAATCT